TTTTGTCCCAAATGTTCCTAGAAGAAAACTCAAAATTGCAAAAAGATACAGAAATAGAAACTCAAAAATGAACCAACATTTGTTGATAAATTTTGAGGTAATATAACACGTACTTTCACTTGTGCTTCTCTTTAGAAACTTTTTGAACTTTAAAGCAAGTTCATATTACAAATACTCCAACCGTAGGTGTTTTTAGCATTCACCTAAATTGAATTCAATTTGAGCCACAAAAAATAAGAAAAAACAAGAAATAGTAAAAATTAGTAGACAAGAGAAAACCTAACTCTACTAAAACATGTTAATGATCTAATAACATGTATGACCTCAAGGATTATAAACCAAAAAGCTTTCAAAATGATTCAGCCAACATATACAACATTTATTTTGCAAGATTTAAAAACAAAAAGGAATCATTAAGAAGTGATGATATGTAAGGACTAAACATGACCTTAAGACAATATTGTTTTTGCATTGATTTCAAAAAGAAAACTAAATCTAAATGAATTTTGTTTATATTTTGAAACAAAACACAACATACATCAAAATGAAGAGGAAATCACATAAAACAAGAATCCTAAAAGCATACACAAATATTTGATTCATAGAATACTACAAATTTTTGAACCAAAATTTTCAAGACAAACATAGATCCATAGAATTAGCATGCAAAAATTAGATCTATACAACATAAACTCACAAGACAATTAAGAATATATGAACAAAACAAAAATTTTAGAATAAACCTTCATGGATGAAATTAAGGCCCATGATACCAAATATGATGAAAACTAGTGGAGAGATGATGATCGAATGCACTCAACTAGCTCCCTTGCTCCTCCAACCTTCATCTATGGCTCTAATTGAAAAGGAAACAAACAAATAAGGAAGAGAAGGAGAAGGTGAAGATGAAGGTGCACCACTTTAAGTGAAAGATAAGTAAGAGATAATGATCTTGTCACAAGGAGGAATTCATTAATAAAATATCTTAAAGAGAGAAATTCTCCAAATAATAAGACTTTGAAGAGAGAATTCTGGAAACTCAATTCTCATATATGCTCAAAGTGATTCATCCAACATGAGGTAACAAGTATATATAAATTGTGGTAGCTTGTGATGCAAGTTAAACTAACCAAGGTTAGGTTAACTTGTACTCAAGCTAACATTATAATTCAAATTTGAAATTCAAATATGAATTTTCCCTCCCATTCTGGATGTCCATGTCTAGATTTATAAGTAAAAGCAATCATGTAAAAAATGTGGCTAGTGTGTGAAACATGTGACTTAGTGAGTTTGTTTGAGCTATTGAGAAAAAGAATATGAAGTGGATGTCCACTTCATTGGATAAAATTATGCATTCTCTCATAGTCCAAAAAAGACCAATAAACAATATCAAAATACTAGTTGCACTCTCATAAAATACTAAATACACCCCCTAAAAAGAAAGTTACAAGGAAATAAGTTTCTACACTATTTGATCAAAAAATACAGGTCAAAAACAAAACAAAATATTTACAAAGAAATACTTACAAAGAAGAGAAAATAGACTACTAAATGTAACTCATAACTAAACAAGAGCTTGGCATTTTACCTTAAAGCCTAACCCACTCTTTTTGGTTCCTTTTGGATTGCCTCCCTGGGCATGATTTCATCAAGCTTAGAGGAATCAGGGATTTCTTCTTTAGATTCATGCTCGGCATGGCATTACTTGTGCTTAGCATGGATAGGCCAAAGACCTCTTTGCCTAATTTGCACTCGACGTGGAATGTGGATGCTCCCACGCCTAGCATTGAGGAGTTAGAGATCCCTTTGGAACCAACCCATCATGTGTGATCCAGTTCATGCCTGACGTCGCCTTCTTTGAAAAACAACATCAAGATGGTGTTAGGTAAGACACCTATCACCTAGTGTAAAGAAGTCAGGAACCTCTATGGCTTTCCTCCACCTGACGTGGTCATCTCCCTGGCTAGAGTTG